GAAGACTTAAGAGAGACAAATTAATGGAGTCAAATAAATTCCAGAGATAGATCCAAAAACACTAAAGGTGGTCTTGCAAATCATGGGGGAAAAGTTAACTGTGCACAAATGGCAGGGGTAATTGCTATTCTTTTTTAAAAACTGTTAGATCCTTTTTGCATTCTTTATATCAATATGTATTCCAGATCAATGCGTGATTTTAAAAGTAAAGAATGAAACCATAAAAGTATGGGAATAAAACATGAGTAAAATGTTTTATAAATCTGGTTGACAAAAACTAAGAATCCATAAAAGAATATACTGATAAATTTGACTGCATAAAAATTAAAATATCTATATAGCCAAAATACCATGAACAAAGTAAACAGATAATTGACAAAATGAGAAAAATCTGTATCACATACTAGACAAATGAGCTAATAATTTCTGTTACATAAAGGGCTTTTATATATCAGTATGTAAAAGATGAATAATCCAATAGAAAATGAGCAAAGGACATGAACAGGAAATTCCCAGAAAAAGAAAAGCAATGGCCATTAAATACAAGAAATGCTCAATTTCACTAACTAGGAAAGAAATGCAAACGAAAACAATGAGAAACGATTGTTCATTTGTAAGATTGGCATAGATAAGAAAACGTTTGCCTGGTGTTGGCTAAAGTGTGAGGGAACATGCTCCTGACCATTGTTAGCAAGGATGTAAAGGGGTGAGACCTCTCAGGAGGGTTTTGAAAACCGTATTAAAAGTAAAATGGACACATCTTTGGAACTAGTGATTATATTTGCAGGGAAACCTAAATAAATCAAGCAAGTCTACAAACACGTAGAAAAGACAGGAGGAAAAATATCTGCTATTTCAATGAAATTTAATTTTAGGCATAACACAGTCTCGAAATGTGAGCTCACAAATAACCCAATGTCTAGGTTGCCCTGTTATCTCTACACTACAGGACCCCAGAGCACGAAAATAAAAGCACAGATAAACAATTAACATGTTGACACTCAAGAATCTAGGTCCGAAATTGGAATATCCAGAGAGGCAATCTGATCCACGTAAAAAAAATTTTTGACCATAAATCCCTTGAAACTCCTCATATCTGTGCAAAGAGGTGGAGTTAGGGGACCAACAAAGGACACACATCTGCCTAGAGGCCCTCGCCCTAACCCGCAGGGGAGACACTTACTTACGGTGACAAGCCTGGAACAAAGTTAGGAGAACGACACTCCAGGGGGTAACAAAAAACGCGTTATCAAGCCCCAGGTCCCTCGCTGCTTCCAGTACCGCGCTTTCTCCCTGTCAGTAGGTCATTTGTGGAGGTAGGGCAAACCTACCTCAGCTACTGAGCATGCGGGAAATTTGGCGCAGACGCAGAACAGCGACTGCCCCAGGGCCCCCGTCAGACTCCCGATCCTCGGGAAAACTCCACTTCTCCGTGTCTTTTCCAAGTCGCCTAATGTCAAAGCGAAGAGTGTGTCTATTAAAGAGTCCTGGTTTCAGGCGGCTTCCAGTCTACTTTGTACATACAGTTCATTCTTAGAATGTTCATTGGATTAAAGATATCGCCTCCAGCGGCGGGCGGCTGCTTAACCTCGAAGAGGGTCCCCGGACTAGGTGTCCGTGGACTCCGCCCCCAACAAAACAACTTTATGCAGGATTGTGTTACTGGCGCTTACCTTTTTTATTTTTAAAGCATTCATTAGATTCTTAAAAGGCTCTGTGAGCTTTTGCATTTGCCTGTCGATAAGTCCTGGGAGATTTTCTCTCTTCCTGGCGTAGTGTACCATGTTAATGATTTTTTTTTTTTTTTGGCTTTTTGAGGCGCGAAAGAAAACCTGCTTACGACTTTTATTGCACTGCCAAAAGTAAAAACAAACAAAATAAAAATTATCTATTCATTTAGGCAATCACCATATATTTAAGGAGCACACTTTTTGTGCCTGCTTGTTTTTATGTGTGAGTGGTGGGGGGGCCGACATGGGGGAACAGCAAAGAGACTAGGCAATCATTTTTTTTTTTAATATTAAAAAGCAGGGCAGTGTGATTAGAATATAACAACAGAAAATAAGACGGCAGAGTTAACAGCAAACATATCAGTTATAACAATAAATGTAAATTGCTTGAACTCCTCCATTTAAAGACAGAAATTCTCCAATTGATTAGAAAACAAAATCCACTATAGAATCAGAGTAGAATTCAGGGCAAGAAAGGTTATCAAAGGAAATAGTAATTTTGTATTGTTAAAGATATCCATTATATTGATAAAGGAACCACTTTATTTTTACACATTTTATTTATTTATTTTTTTATAGAAACAAATATCTGTTTCTTTTATTTTTTGTGAGGAAGATAAGCCCTGAGCTAACATCCATGCCAATCCTCTTTTTGCTGAGGAAGACCAGCCCTGAGCTAACATATATTGCCAATCCTCCTCCCTTTTTCTTTTTTCCCCTTTTTATCCCCAAAGCCCCAGTAGATAGTCGTATGTCATAGGTGCACATCCTTCTAGTTGCTGTATGTGGGACGCAGCCTCAGCATAGCTAGAAAAGCAGTGTGTCGGTGCTCGCCCGGATCCGAACGCGGGCCGCCAGTAGCGGAGCATGCGCACTTAACCGCTAAGCCATGGGGCTGGCCCCTATTTTTACACATTTTAAAGTTAAATAAGTAACTCATGACTACATTTCATTGTTAAAAAAGAAATGCAAACAATACAATCTGTCCAGGACTTTTCTTAGAGCATGGGTCCTCAGGTTGGATTTTACTTTCTCTCTCCTGATATTGCAGAACCATAATGCACTAACTAGTTTTGGGGTTTGGACACTTATAAAAACTCTAAGTGCAGAATCTTTATAAATTTTTATGATGTTTTCCCCACTACTTTACACTTGTTTTAGCTTCACCTAATTCAACAACTGTTTGTTTTTAGAGACTTGCCTTTACTGGACTCTGTAGAGCTTTCAGCATAGTTTTCATAGAAGCAATTACTTTTGCATTAAAAAAAACATTGGTTTGGGGGAGAGAGTAGCTAGTGAGCAATTTTTGTTTCTCTTCTGTAATTGCTCTTCTGTAATTCCCAAACTTTCACATTTGGAAACAACAGTAATTTCTATTTTTTTAAAAAACTCACCAGAGAGCAATATCAACAAATGGCTACCACTATTACATGGAGTCCTAGTTTGAGAAGGTTTTTACCTGCACAACTCATTTGATTGTCATAATAACTCTGTGAGTTAAATCAGACCATTTATTTTATTGCAGTAAAAAAATATTTAATAAAATTTACCATTTTAACCGTACATTTGTTTTCATAATTAAATTATATAATTACATAACAAGTACAACTGGCATGAATAAGCTTAAGGATAAACCCACCGCTGTAAGCTCAACAGGTGGGAAGAGAAATGCGCAGATGCCCTAGAGAGTGTATTCTTCTGCTTGGAGGGCTCAGTGTACCCTCAAAACAAGTTTTATGGGGAAACACAGAGGACTGTGGAATTTAGCAAGATCTTCTGTAGACATTGGTTAGGAGAGCTTCTGGTGCATACATCTTTGTGCTCCCGTGAGATGATGGCTATAGGATAGATTCCCAGATGTTGAACTGCTGGTCAAAAGTGAAATGCATTTTAAGTGGTGATGCATATTGCCAATTTGCCTTTCAAAAAGGCAGTACAAATTTTACATTACCACCAGCAGTGTGAGAGAGGTCACTTTCACACACCCTCCTAAGCCCTGTTATCAAACTTCTTAATTTCTGCTCTAATCTGTTGTTCAGAAATGGTATCTGGTTTTCACTACCTGTCCTCAATGACTCCTAAAGTTGAGTATCTTTATGTACTTATTGGCTTTTTCCATTTCTCTGTGAATTGCCTGTTCTTATCCTTTGCCCTTTTTTCTATTTGTTGATATTTATCTTCTTGATTTGTAGCAGCTCTTTATGCCTTTTGGATATTAATTTTCTTTAATATGTTGCAAATGTTTTCTCCCACAGTATGGTGTAGAGGAGGCAATATAACATGGTGGTTATGCGTACGGGCACTGGAGCCCAACTGCCTGGATTTGAACCCCAGCTCTGCTACTTCTTAGTTGTGTGATCTTGGGCAAGTTACTTAACTTTATGCGCTTCGGTTTCCTTATCTGTAAAATGGGAGTAATCATAGTACCGACCTCACCTCAGAGGGTTGTTTTGGCATGCCGTGTCTTCACAGGACTTAAAGATTAAATGAGTTAACACAGGTAAAGCACTGGGGACAGTGCTTGGTGAAAAGCTGACACGGATCAAATGCTTGCTATTTGCCACTTGCCTTCTCTCTTTGTGGTGTCTTTTAACATATAAAATTTCCCATTCATTTTTGTAGAAAATCGGTCAGTCTTTTTATTTATGTAAGCCAAATCTTTTAGATGTTGTATCTTATCATTAGGAAGGCCGTTCACAAGAGGTACACTTTACACTGAAAAGGTAGCAATTGTGAACTATTATGACCTGGACAATCAAATAGAGCACAGTCTGCCAGAAACCAGAGCAGAAGTTGCCCCACACAGTGGACTATATGGGACATAACAGGGATATAGGGCATCTTAAAAATCATTAGGTTGATTTATAATATTGGCACTGAACTTTGTACTCGCTCAAGCAGTGCTGCCCCTAAAGTAGCCATTAGCCCCTTATGGTTGTTGAGCACTTGGCAAGTTACTAGCCCAAACTGAGATGTGTTGTATGTGTAACATACATACCAAATTGCGAAGACTTGGTTTGAAGATGAAGAGAAAGATGTGAAATATCTCATTTATAATTTTATATTAATTACTTGTTGAAGTGATAATATCTTGGATATGTTGGATTAATAAAATATATTAAAAAAAAAGAAAAGGCAGGGCACCGTGATTGAAATACGAGCCCTATCGCGCCGGCCACGCCTTTCCCCGCCCCGCGGCGGCTGCAGCCAAGACCCGGAGGCGGATCTGTCCTCGCCACCGCAGGGACGACCCTGCGCCCCGCCCCTTCCGCGCCCCGCGCGCGTGCGCACTCCGGCGCGGGTCGCAGAGGCTCTCTGGGGTCCCTGCTACCCAAAGCCTGGGCGGGAGCCGAGCACCCCCCGATCCCCGGGAGGCTGCGGTGGTCCCGCCATGCGTTGGGGGCTGCGCCCTTCTGGGCCGGGGGCAGCCGCCCTGGCCCGGAATTTGTGGGTGCCGCCCCGCCTTCCTAGTCGCGCGGGGTGGCGAGGGACGGCGAGGAGGCTTTTGGTGCGGTCAGTCACCGGGGCCAGTAACCAGCTGCAGAACTCGAATAATGGCGGATACCGGGACACGGTGCTGCTGCCGCAGACCAGCTTCCCCATGAAGCTGCTGGGCCGCCAGCAGCCCGACACGGAGCTGGAGATCCAGCAGGTACGGCCCCGCCTCTGCGCCGCGCGGGGAGCGGGGCTTCGAGAGGGAGGCCCGACCCGGCCGGGGGCCACACCCGGGGGACCCACACCTCGGGCGGGGGGGACAGGGCCACAGGCTCCGGGCCCCTGTGGGCGGAGGGGGGTTGTGACCCTATCGGTGGAAATCATCCGCTTCCTACAGGTTTTATTGGCTAAAGACATGAGTCCGTCAGTGGTAGCAGGTTCCAGGGCGGAATGTTAAGGGGGAGACTAGCGATGCTCAGATAGCAGCGTGTATCGAATGTAAGTCCCATTTTTAGCTTAGGCAAAACAAATCGAATTTGGACTCTTTTCCAGTGGTTTGTAAGAAGTAAGTTAACATGCACACATATAAATAAAAACTCGCTTATGAGGAAACGTTGAAGCTCACCTTTATGGTATCAGTAAGGCCCTAGTTGGAATTATGACTTGTTTGAAGGGTAACGTAAAGGTACTTAGTTCCTCTGAGTCCCCTTCCTACATATTGTGCGTCTGTCTCCTGTCTTAGACGAACTTTCTAAGGGCAGAGAGGCACTTGGTAGTTTCTGTAATTCTAGAGTCTTTAAAATCCCTGATAGTCAGGACATATTGGTTAAATAAATGTGCTTAACCTGAATATTCTTATGACAGTTATCAGCATTCTAGACTCATAAATCTGTTTTGGCCACCTAATTTTTTAAAGTGTTTTATCCAGTACCTTCTGTCTGCCAGCAACTGTGACAGTGTCAAATGTTTTCTCATTTAATCTTCACACCAGCTTTGTGAGTTGGTATTAACATTTTTTCAAGTGAGGAAACCGGTCCCATAAGGGAAAAGTGATTTAGCCAAGGCACACGGCAGATGAGGGAAGAGGAGTGGGACTGCAATGAGTGTGGTTCCAGATTTAGAGAGGACAAGTGTTGAGGCCAAAAGATTGCAAGAATAGGGGATCTACAGGTCCTTCAGCATGGCTGGACTGAAGAGTGGGGGTGGGGGGGAGTGCTGAGAGACTGCCCAGGAATTTGGTGGTCCTAAACCTTTATAGGGTATATGTATAAAGACCTCAGACTTGAATCTGCAGTCTATGGGGATCTTTTGGAAAGTTTTAAGAGATGAGTACTCAGGTGTGCATTTTAGAAAGCTCACCATTTGTGTTTCAGTGTTAAATACATTGGAATGGGATAAGAAATAAACAAGTGCTGGCTGTCAGGAGTGTGTATTTATATGATGTTTAGACATTATTGTTCTTTTTAAACAGAAATGTGGATTTTCAGAACTTTATTCATGGCAAAGAGAAAGAAAAGTAAAGACAGAATTTTGTCTTCATGATGGACCTCCTTATGCAAATGGTGACCCTCATGTTGGACATGCTTTAAATAAGGTAATTATAATTTAGCTTATGAGATTTGAGGGGAAACTTTTTTTTTTTTTAATTTATTTATTTATTTTTTTTTAAAGATTTTATTTATTCATTTTTTCCCCCCAAAGCCCCAGTAGATAGCTGTAT